GTCAACCAAGCCAACCAAGTCAACCAAGCCAACCAAGTCAACCAAGTCAACCAAGTCAACCAAGTCAACCAAGCCAGCCTTGCCAACCAAGCCAATCTTGCCAATCAAGCCAATCAAGCCAATCAAGCCAACCAAGCCAACCAAGTCAACCTTGCCAACCAAGCCAACCAAGCCAACCTTGCCAACCTTGCCAACCTTGCCAACCAAGCCAACCTTGCCAAACAGGCCAAATAAACCAAACAAGCCAAGCAATCCAAACAAGTCAACCCATATTTTGTCCGCCAGATCAACAGCCTTGTCAACCAGCTTATCCATGTACACAACMATGTCCACCATGTGCAAACCCACCTTGCCAACCTCCAACACCAATATGTCCGGGTCCACCCTGCATACCTACACCTAAACCAAGTAAAGTATAGTTGTCTTATAGGTCCAAGCCTTCATGTCCAACCAGTGATATCATACGACATTTAAATGCTAATTTTAATTGTTCTTTAATTCTTAAGAGAAATGTCCACTATCACCATACAGTAAACTAAATTGTTACAAACATCCCAAGGACACTACTAAGAACTTAGTCTGGGTAACTCCAGGAGTTGCTCCAAAGAATATGCCAGATTGGGATAAGTATTTGAGTACTTTGGTGTGCCAGTGTTCAAAATCGGCCAAAAAGAGAGGCTTTACATATTTTGGAGTGAAGTACTTCAAGCCAAAAAACAGCCTTTTCTACAGGGGTATGTAGTAGTGACATTGATATGATGAAAATCGGGGAGTTATACAATGAAAAGGAAATCTAGTGTGTAAATTATTCATAATAGCAGTCAAATTCCAATTTCAATCATCCTGTTTGAGTTGTTAATTACGGACATCTTTGTCAGGTGCRTGTTTCACTACTTCTAAGCCGAACAAAAACTTGCTTCAAGAAGACAAAAGATGTATGGACTGTACTAAAGGTGTTTGTAATCTTAATGATAAAAATGATTGCACTGGGAGAAAGAATTCAATCTTCTGTTACAAACGAACAGGTATTGACAGACCCTTTCTTCGATGGCGTTTTGTTTTTTGATTGTTGTTGTTGTTGTTGCTTGTATGTGTTTGTTGTTATTGTTATTTGTTTGTTTGGTTTGGTTTTGTCTCGTAGAGGGGTTTACGTGCACCATGTGCTCCCTTTGGGAGCAATATTTATAATATTAGTGTTTATTTGAATAGGCGAAATTGAAGAACAAGAAGAACAAGAACAAGAAGAACCTGAGGATCCTGAAGAAATTGAAGAACCTAGAAAAACTAAGGATCCTGGAGTATTAGATTCTAATGGTACTGGTGACAATGATGCAAAGTATGGTCGTACTAACAGCACCACTCAAGACGCGAGTGAAGCCAAATTAGTACAGAGACTTSAAARCATGTAATCTTTCGAAGCTGGACTTGAATCACAATCTWAAGGCTTTTTAGTTGTGATATATTTCTAATTTGCAATTTCCATTTCAAACTGGAAGTTTGTGATGCGATGTATATTTGATTAAATAAAGCCAGGCGCGTAGTGTCCTTTACGCACATACGCACTTGCATACTAGTGTCAAGGAAACTATTAAAATTTTCCCMAAAAAAACTGAAAACTTCAAATAAAATAGATCCCTTTTATATACCCTCGATGTCTCTCAAAACGCTGGAAATCTCATTTCCAAGAGTTATTATTTCAAAATTTTCTGGGAGAGGTCCAGACTCCCTTATGACTCCCGTCTTTGGCGGTCGTTAGACTCGCAGATCCAAAATATGTGTCGCGGTCTCTGCGTACTAGCCAAAAAGTCAACTCTACGCAACTGCATTCTAGACTTATGACACATGGCGAAAATGATCCTATAAATTGAGTAGGTTTTGCAGATCGGAACCATTACAAAAAAAAATTGGCGCGCCATATGAGTAAAACCATATACTGATCTCAAAACAACAGTATGATGACTGTATAACTGGATTGAATTTCTCAGTAAAAATCCTTCAGTAGAAAGTTAATCAAATAACAGCATTCTAGAGCTAAGATACATGAAAAAAAAGTATCTTTTAATTTTTTTTGAAATTTTAAGACGGAACCTTAAAACAATTCAACCAATTGGCGCGCAGTATGACCAAAACCATGCACCCATCTCAAAACACGAGTATGATGACTGTTTAACTGGATTGAATTTCTCAGGAATCCAACAGTAAAAAGTCAATCAAATAACGGCATTCTAGTCTTATCATACATGGCAAAAAGGATCTTTTAAAATTGTGTGAAATTTTAAGACGGAACCCTTAAAATCAATTCAACCAATTGGCGCGCAGTATGACCAAAACCATGCACCCATCTCAAAACACGAGTATGAGGACTGTTTAACTGGATTGAATTTCTCAGGAATCCAACAGTAAAAAGTCAATCAATTGGCCTCTGGGTACGAGGCATTAATATTGCGCGTATAGTATTTTTACCAAGTCTCAAGTTTGTCGTCGGGATCCCTGGCTCTCCGATTAATAAGTTGACGTCATCATTTAACTCTAAGTTTTAAAAACCAGTTGATATGAAATCTTGGCAACCTGCACGTATGTAGAAAAAAATGCACAAAGATCGAAGCTAAGGATTATTCCTGAGAAGCATTCAGATGCAATCAATACAAATACTTTTATATAATAAAGAATTATAAATGTCAATAAACGCCTTTTTGGTTTTTGGCTATTCCAACAAGGGCCTAACATTATAAGTCAGATGTAGGCCTTAAATACATAACTCTCAAAAGAATAGATTCAGCGCTGCATAAAATGAGATTTTTTTCAGWTGATCAGATATTCAAACGCTCCTTTAGTTGTTTTTCAGTTGTTTTTTTCTTGCGTGTTGTCAATAACGCATAATCACGAATAAGCCCTGCTTACAGGATTTAGTAGATTTATTAGAGTTGTATTGCATGAGACACTTACAAAAGTGAAAGATTACGTGAATAAATGGTTTTAG